GGGGGTCGTATATTTTCAACTAATATGAGGTATATATCTATACACACATATGCATATCTAAGGTCTGGGTTCTGGAAGGAGCCCCCAGGCTAAAAACGAGTGATGTAGAGAGTCTACGGAGACGGCATAATTCAGGGCTCTGGGTTTCGGGTTTGGGGCTTAGGGAGTTTGCCGTATCGAATTTGAAGGTAAGGTGCCAGGCCGCTGGGAGTAAGGGTTTAGGGTTTAAGGTTTGCGGTTTGGGGTTTAGGGTTCAGGTTTGGAGTTTCAATGGAAAGCCGAAGTGGGGAACGTGGATTTACAAGCCGTGACTTTGAAGTGTATGTGGACGGGCTATAGAAGTGGGGCTCTATGTTGGGATACCGAAATTTCTCGTAATGCGACATCAAGAGTCAAGATCTGCGGTTTAGGGCCTGGCCGGTTCAGAATTTAGGCGCTCAAAAGAAATACAGCTTTAAAATCGCTCTCTGGTTTGGGCATAGCAGAAACTGAAATCTGTTTCAACTTTGCACCAGGTCTAGGGTTTTCAAGAATGTTGATGGTTTCAGTGCTCGTGATGTAGGATGAAAACCCCAGGGTTCACCCTAAACCCGCAAAACTCTGAACCCTAAACAATAAACCCTATTCTATCTACTTAAAGGGGACTATACAGTCACCTGTGGCTGTTCAACTCCGGATATGGCCTGAAGCTCTGCGTAGCCGGCCCAATGTTCCCCCCATCCAAAAAGCTGTCGCCCTGAGCCCGAACACCTACGTAAAGCCGAACCCCCCACCCATTACAAAGCCGTAACGCCAGGGCTAAAGGTTTAGGGTTTAGGATTTAGGCTTAGGGCTAAGGCTGATGGTTTAATCTTGTTTAGGGTTTAGGGCTTAGAGTTTACACAACCCCAAACTCCAAACTCCCAACCCGAAATCCCCAATTCCAAATCCTGCCAGGAAAATCCATGGGTCTCTGGATACTACACCACTGCAAGGAACCATCCCAAGATCTCTATACTTGCATGCGAACGCCTGACGTGTACTGCTAAAAGGTCTCCAAGGAGTCTCCCAATTTTTTCCAAAACTTGATTGGCGGATCCCGAATTTAGAATACTGCTGCTCTTTGAATGGGCCGAGGGTGGCGTTATAATCAGAATCCCCCCATCAAACCTTACAATCCTAAACCCTAAGCCTCACACCCTATGGCCTACAATCCCCAACACACTAACGCCCTACGCCCTACGTGCTAGACCCTGAGCCTTACGTATGAGCCATAGTCTAAAGTCTTAACATCCCCCTTCGTAAGCCCTATGATGCTCCCCTACATAATCCCCTACATAACCCCCTTTAAGCACCCTTAGACTATAGCTCATATAAAGGCCTATAATATCCCCATAATATCCCTATATTCCCATTATAGTAGCTTCCATTTTCTTTTCCGTTATCCTTAAAGGCACCCAAACCCCCACAACCCTCGGCCGCCTCTTCGCTACCGCCTCCTTGCCACCCTCTGCCAAGACGGCAAAGACGAAGGTCAGCTCTAGCCTGACTAACAGGCTTTAGGGTTTAGGGTTTAGGCTTTAGGGTTTAGGGTTTAGGGGTTTAGGGTTTAGGGCTTGACACTAAAAATCCTGCATGACACTAGTATGCTACCACACCGCACTTCTCAATGTATACGGTACTTTGGAGCATGCGGATATTGAAGATTTTAGGGATGAGGATTTGAGAATTTATGGTTTAGGAGCCAGTGCCTAAAAGACCAAGGATTGACGTTTGAAGCCAACGGTCTAGGAATGAAGGGTTGAGGGTTTAGGGTTTAAGAGCGAAGTGTGTTGGAATCAGTAAGTTGGGGTTGGCCTAGGGCTTGAGCATTCGGGGCGTAAGCTTCGGTTTCGAGTAGTTGAGTGGATCCCCATCACCCACATTAGTAACTGTAGCCTATATTCATTCCCCCCACCCCCTGAACCCTAAAACCTAAAACCTAAACCCTAAACCCCAAAGCATCAGTAAGCAACAAGGCCGCCCACACCATGTGGTCCCAGACTGCCGGCATCCAGTAGAACCTCGGCGTAACCCTAACCCATTTGGCTGGGGCACTATTGGAGTTCTATTGGGTTATACGGGTTATATAGGGATAATGGAAGATAAAATGGAAACTCCGGGGATTATAAGGGTTGTATAGGGTTTATATTGGGAAGCTGGAGAAGAAAATGGAAACTATAGGAACTATATAAAAGTTTTATAGGCTGAAACCCTGAACCTTGAACCCTGAACCTTGAACCCGGGCGTAAAGGCTGAGAAATGAATTCTTCATGGGTGGAGAGTTGCAAGGTTTGGGGTTTGGGGTTCGGGGCATATAAGGGTTATACACCCTAAACCCTAAATAGTAGTTTCCATTTTCTTTTCCATTATCCCTATATAACCCCCAAAAATAGTCTAGTAGCTTCAAGTTCCGGGTTTAGGTTTAGACTTGAAGGTCTCATCAAGGAATAAGGATTTGGGGGAGGGCGGGCAATCTTGCGGGGTGACAAGGCAGCCAACAGGACCTTCACACAAAAGCACAGGCCCCCTCTTTTCACGGAGGAAGGCTGCATCATCAAAAACCCCTTTCCTGCGTTTAGCGCATGTGCTTGGATGTCCAAGGAATTGTAGACCACTACGTAACTGTAGCTAGAACCCTGTTATAAGCTCCAGAACTACTGCCTAGGCTCCATAACTACAGCCACCTTAGCTGCAACTGGGCTATGAGTACTGCACAGCTGCTAAGCTAAGTCCTGCTGAGGGCGGTGCACTTAACACCAAACCCTAGACCATCCCACAGAAGCACAAATCCCCAACCTGCTTCCACGGGTTGGGAGGATGCTGCAAGATCATAGGGCGTTCCATTTAAAGGGTCCAAGGGTTAGGGCGGTTAGCGCTTAAGCTTTGGGTTTTGGAGTGCTTTGCAATGATAACCCCTCACCTCTTATTGGTTAACATTCCCACCCTTGTACAGTGGTACTATGATGCGCATATGTTAGGAGGACCCCCCACCCTGTAAAAGTGGTATAATAGGAATATAAGAGGGCCCTAATATAATCCCTATGATCCATAATAGTCACTATTACAGGGTGGGGGGTCCGCCTAACGCATATGGTTCATTCTGAGGTGGGCGCGGGCAATTATCCGGAGAGGTGATAACCACAGAACCTTTGACGTTCTCATACCTTAGGTGGACTCCCCACCCAGTAATAGTGACTATAAGGGATAATGGTAATAATATTAGGGTCTTCTTATAGTCCTATTGTACCACTATTACAGGGTGGGTGGTCCTCCTAACTCATACCTAAATGCCTCCGACATGACTCTGAGATTTGATTGGAGACACCACCATGGAAGGGTGGCAGAAGATCTTCGGGGAATCGACCCTGGATCCACACGCTTTAAAATGCAGGGTGCAGAGTTTAGGGTTTGTCTATATAACCCCAATATAACCCTATGTAATATAATAGTTTTCATTGTCTTTTCCATTATCCCCTATATAACCCCAATATATACCCAATAATCCTTAAATAACCGTTGGCCCTCAACGGCTGAGCCTGAGAGTTCTCAACTCGTCACACACCAAATCCCCAACACTACAGCTTGCAAACCCCAAAATACTTGCAAAATCAATTTAAGCTCCCCGCAAAACTCTTGTTTGTAACCTCGAGAGATTCTGCCAAAACCCTACGTAGCCACAAGCCCTGAACATTACCTAAGCCCTTGACCCTAAACGCTGAACTGCCCAAACTCCTACCTAAACCCTACACCCTTAACCCTCAACCCTGAATCCTAAACCCTTAACCCTAAATCCTAAACCCTAAACCCTAAATCCTAGACTCTAAACCCTTAACCCTGAACCCTGAGCAACCCTACACCCTGAAACCCAGGACCCTGTGAGGGGAACCAGGAGATGATGTTGGCGATGTGGGCCAAAAGCAGCACCGAAGGTGTTGGGGAGAGGAAAGAGAGAATGAGCCTCAGTCTAGGTAGGCAATTATAGGGTTTCGGGTTTGGGGTGTAGAATTCAGGTTTAAGATTTAGGGTTTAGGATTTAGGATTTAGGGTTTAGGGTTCAGGGTTCAGGGTTTCGGAGCGGATGAGCGTCAAGAGGGAGTGAAGTCATGGAAAAGCAAATGGAAACTAAGATCTGGGATTAGGAAAAAACTATAGGAACCATCTAGGTAGGTACAACCCATGAAAGCCTGAATTCTAAGCACTAAGCTCTGACCATAAATTTTTCTTTCAACCCTAAGCCATTAACCCGAATCCTCAGTGCTCAGTGTCAACGTCACTGGGGCTCAGGGTTTCGGGTTCGGGGCTTGAGGCGTAGGGTCTGGGGTTTTAGGCAGAAAGAAATATAAGTCTTGACGAGTTCCCCTACCATCCTCCTTTATACTACCTCCCAACGTTCTCCTTACTTGAGCTTCTTCAGGGTGAGGTAAGGAGAACTACGGAGAACTTAAGGGGGGGTAGTATAGGAAGGATGGGAGGGGAATCCATGATAAACCCTATATACCCTATTTTCCATTCCATGTACCAGTTTGATTGTCAATTCGATTTTCCATTATGAGGGGATGCTAGTACCCCGTAAAGGGCTTAAGCTTTAGGCTTCATGGTCTGGGTAAGGTTTGGGGTTTAGGGTTGAGGGTCTGGGGTTCACTGTCCACGATTTACGCAGCCTCTTGCGGAGCTTCTCAAAAGCGAGCCTTTCAAAACTCAACAAGGATGAAAGTGGAGTCCTGGGACCTGCGCAACTCTGTAGTCCCCGTAGACCCATAACAAAAAAGGTTAGTTGGAGAGTGCCATGGGGTCGCGCCACCATAAAAATTTAAAATAGTGCCTAAAGGGATAGGAGAGCTGTATTTCTGGCCTTTCTGATGCGCATCCCTATCTCAACCCCAAGCCCTGAAACTCAGAGTTTCTGCCAGGAATGCGCCTCAAGTCTACAAGCTACACCTGAACCTAAACTTTCCTAAGCCCTACAAGAACGAGAGATGTTGGTAGGCAACAAGCTCCAGTCCTCCGGGAGGCCGAGGGTAACATGGTAGGGCATGCCCTGCCAAAGCGTCCCCTCGAGCCATCCCGGAAGCGTCACGTAAGGGACCTTAGATTGCGAACGTTGCACGCGCCACACGGCGGCTTCCGTGAGGGCAGGGCAACCTGAAAGGTGAGACACAAGAAGAGCTTGTTGTCCGCCTTGGCTAGAAAGGATGGATGCAGCAATACATGCCATTAGGATTATTACGTCTTGGTGTCGGACGAGTCGTCCCAACTTCACGGCTCCCCCCCCATTCGCCTTGTTCGATCCTGGCCTGGCACAGATTTTCTCGCACGACTTTGATATCGTATAGAGGAACCTCATCAAGCGCTTGCCTGCACTTCGGGGGTTTGCACGGCAGCGAGCGCCTGGATGTCAGAAATCAGCCAGCGCTAGGATTGCGGGTTTGCATATGCGAAGAACATTGTCCTCCTCGGTGAAGGAGGTCTCCGGCCCGCTGCCCTCCAACAAGGGAAGGCTGAAGAAAGTCTCGAAGGATGCGTCGGCCATGGCCTTGTAGGGATCGCATGCAGAAGCGCAATCTCTTCCCTTCTTCTCTGAGGCTTTTGCTGGGACGCTCCTAGACAGTGAAACAATGCACGAAGCTTGAAAAGCTAAAGGGCTGCAGATCAAGAAGCTGGTTTGTGGCAAGCTCATATACCCACTCGGCATTTTGAAAACTGTTGTGTGCAACGTCATACCCCCAGTTGCATATATCCGGTGGCTAGGGTCACATATTTGGTGGGCAAGGTCATATATCTGGCGGGCAACGTCATCGCTCGGCCGAAGCCTTAGAATTGGTGGGCAAGGTTGTAAGTCTGGTGGGCAGGACACGCGCAAGAAAAAACATTAGCTGCGTTTTCAAGGCTTGCTTTTTGCTGCTTCTAGAATTCTGTTGCTGCGATCGGCAGGGTTGACAACCCCACACCTCGACAGGTCATGAACAAAACCAAAGTCTCGCTTAAGGTCAGCCGATTTGGGAAAGCCATTTCAGACCATGCTCCTGGCATTCCTTTTTTCTGACAAAGTGCTGGATGAAAGTGTTCGGTGAAAGTTCATGGCAGCCGGCGCTTGAGCTGTGCTTTCAACCGAGTACTTAAAATCATCGTACGGATGTCTTCAGAATTCATCTTGGCCCACACCCACCCAGTATAAGTACATTCATCACGGTCAGCTCAAGCACCATTTGCGGTTGGCACGCCTGCTGGCCTCATGCCAGCGAGGCAGCATGCCAACGGGAGCCGGCGGATGCCGAATATGGGACCCTCCCTGGAAGCATCTATTGGCTTCGTCCAGAAGCACCGCCTGGGCAACTTAGTGTCATGCAGGAAAATCTTGTGTGACTCGCCTGGGGTGTAGGTATAGAGTATATTGGGGCTTCTTTGGGATAATGGAAAAGATAAATGGAAACCACTGTTTAGGATTTAGGGTTTGGGGTTTTTTCTATATCTACCATTAACCCCACAAGGTTGTTTAAATTCACGGCGTTCTACCCTAGACCCAGCTACCCTGGGCATTCAAGTCTGCATGCGATATCCATGCCTTACCACAGGGACCAAATAAATATCCTAAACCCTAAACCCCAAAAAACCCTAAACCCTAAACCCTTCACCCTTGGGTTTAAGGTTTATGGTTTAGGACATTCGGAGGTCTACTGGAGGTAGCTCACACCATGATTCCACAAGGAAGTGAGCTCAAGAATGGGAATTGCAAAAATCTCTTCCACCGAATAAGAAGCCAACCCCGACCCTGATAATCAGAAATACGATTATACTATGAGATACTATACTGGGGGTCTGTAGTATTAGTGTGGGGAGATTGGAAGGTATCAACATGACAATTGAAAAGATGGTCACCATGCTCATGAGTCGAAAAAGGGCTGTAAGCTTAATCGCACAGCGCGAGCATGATGGTGATTAGGCTGATGGAAATCATCATCATGATGACGTCTATGGTCAGGAGCAAGGAGCAGAGAAAGGAGGAGAGGAGAAAAAAGGAAGAGACGCAGAGGCAAGATGAGGAGGAGGAGATCAATCACCTTCAGAATGATCCAATTGCAGTTCATAACATGCTAGTAAGAAAACCAGCAACCAGGTAATCGCACATAAGCGAATGCAGCAGAAGTCTTCCCAGTCCATGAGCACCAGCACCAGCCCAGCACCAACGCCACCGCCGCCACCACCACCACCACCGCCGCCGCCACCAACAACAACATGATGACTGTGACTGCTGCTGCTGCTGCTGCTGCTGCTGCTGCTGCACCATACTCCCTGAACCTGAACCCTCAAGAACCCTGAAAACCCTAAAGTCCGTACTATCTAACAGCCCGAGCTGCAAGGGAAGGCGGATCATCCAGTCGTCAGGTCCTTGATCCCAAAACCTCAAATCCTGAACCCCCCATAGCCTAAACATCCAAAACCCCGTTAAACACCAACCCCTAAGCACCAAACCTCGTAAACACCAAACCCTAGCCCTAAACCCTGTACCTTCGTTTCGGGGGTGCATACACCTATCTACCCCTACCAACCGCTATGCATCCCTAACTACCCCTATACAACTTACCTTGGACACCCCCAAAATGAGGACTACAAGGGATAACGGGAAGCACATCAGGGTCCTCTTAGATTCAGTATTGCAATGTGGGGGGTCCACCTGAACCCTGAGCTAACCCTAGACCCTAAACCTTGTTTCCTGGCCCTTATGTAAATCCCACAGGTCCTTGATCCCAGGGCTTGAGCATGCGGTTGTCCATTGCCTGGCTGATTGCACAGGCAAATGTTCAACTAGACTTAGGTTGTAGGGCTTAGGGTTTAGGCTGTGGGATTGAGGTTTGGGGTTTGGAGTTTGGGGTTTGAGGCTAACAGGGAAGTGGGGAGCAACGCAGCCGGAATGCAAGGTTACAATCAAGATTTTCAGGATGTGACGGTCTTGAAACCCGCCGTCCCTACACGCCAAGCATAGATCTGCGTATATATATACATATGTATATCAACATGGAAGCCCATATAACCGCTGCTGACAGCATAGTAGTCCTTTGAATGTCCTCTTTCGGGCTTCCTTTGGAGGATTGTAAGCGATGCCGTGCATGCCCGTAAAAGGGACTTTAGTATGTTGGGGTATTAAGATCTATATTGGGGTCCCCCTATGTGGAGAAACTCTCCAAACCCCAAACCCGGTACGGTTTCGGGCTTAGGGTCGTTCCTGTGCTGTCACAAAACCTTCAACTCTGAGCGGTTTAGGGTTTAGGGTTTGGGAGGGTTCTCAACAACATTGAAGCCCCTCGGAGGCGTGCAAAGAAAGGACTGGATGATATGCGGGGAACAAGCTAAGTTTGAGAAATGCCAGAAACTACTTTAGTAGTTTCCATTTTCCTTTTCCATTATCCTTATATAACCCCAATGTACTACAGTAGTTTCCATGTTCTTTTCCATTATCCGTACATAACACATGCTGCCCTATGCAACACGGCTGCACTCACCTCTCGGTCGGAAATCGCGCAGAGGATGCCCTCTATGGTCCTCAATGGAGACCCCAAACTCCCTTTGTAATCCACATTCCGTTGATAGAGGAAATCTTGCACAACCTGGTCTGCGCACACAGCTGTGTTCCTTAAGAAAAGTAGTTGTTGTTGTAGTTGTAGTTGTTGTTGTAACAGTAGTAGTGATATTTGAACTTCGGAAACCTCGAGCTGGTGCAAGATTTCTTCCGTCAACACTATATGCCCCGCGGTCCCTTTTTGAGAAGCCCTTCTATTTGCGCAGGTAGGTACAGGCCTGAGTGAATTGTAGTGATTAGGGTTTAGGGCTTCGACTTTCGAGTTTGGGGTTTATGGGTCGGGCTAAGGGTTTAGTGCTTGAGGACTCGGGTTTAGGCTGCAGACCATTTTCAAACCACATGGACACATCCAAGGCTACCAGGAAGTCAGGTGCATCCTGGAAAGCCAGCGACTGTATAGTCCCCCTCAAGTACGTGGAATATAGGGTTTAGGGTTTAGGTTTTAGGATATAGTCTCCCTTAAGTAGATAGAATACAGGGTATATGGGGATCTTATTATACTATACCCAAAGCCATATTCTACCTACTTAAGGGGGACTATATCCCTGAAGGGCCGCTCAAGGAGCCCACAATGCCTTCATGGGGCACATTCCTTGATCTTGGGGCGTCTCTGAAAATGGCCGCCCTGAAAGAAGACTATGGAGATTGGTATGGGATTACCTTACTGAGGATTCTACACTGGTAATTCCGAGGAACTCCCCTCTTGATCATCTCAACGGCTTAGGGCTCAGGGCAAATAATTGAAGGCATGGGCCGCAAGTACGAAGGTACTGGGACTCCCTAGCCACAGTAGAATGTGGAAGCCCGTATTAACGGGCCCGCGCTTACCCAAGGTTGAGGCCACAACATGATGTTCGTCTGGGCTGCTGTTAAGAAACCTCATTTACATTATCATGATATGGGTATATAGGGCGGTTTAAGGCTTAAGGAACTGAGAATAAGTTACCATAAAATGGGTATGTGTTGAATAATAGGGTATCCTTAATATGGTAACTTAGCTTAATAACAGCAACCCAGTCTCGGGCCACCGGTGCTTATGTGGGAGTGGCGGATGATATATAGGGACTACTATAAGGATCATATTGCAAGGAGCCACTATGACTGAAGCACCAGCAGGCTGCTTAAAACATCTTCGCACCTGCAACGCGCGAAGTGCAGGCTCGAAGCGGAAGATCTCCATGTGCTGATCCGCACAAGGCAAATACGCACAGGAGGCTCAAGTAAAATCCTGGACATTTCCCATGGATTTAAAAACAAGTCCCTTTCATAGGGTTTAAGGTTTAGGGTTCAGGGTTTAGGGTTTAGGGTTTAGGGTTTTTGGAACCCGCATTGTGTCCACACAGCACCCTGCGAGGAGCTGGTTGGATCAAAGGCGGAGTGTCCATACCAACAACCGGGGCAATGTTTATGCCCAACCCCCCAAAAGCAGGACCCCACAACTGCAATGTGATGTTTAAGAATGTCCGAATTTGGGGGGTTGGGGACTATGTAACTCAAGAAGCAGCTGAGGTTGTAGTCTGAGTAATGTTTCTTGGTGGTTGAACCAGGTAAGATTTTCATAGTCTTCCCATCCTATACGATAGCCCAAAACAGGCTCTACGTTATGTGGGCTATAGCATCCAGGTTAGATGTACTGTATACCACATAAAGGACATACTAAAGACATCAAGGACAACCCCTGGCACACACATGGCTACGACATCAGCAGCTCTCAGATTCTTGAAGCCTACTGATGCCCCTCATGTAAGCCTACAAACTCTCTCCTAGCACATCAACATAGGATACTGCAGGACCCCTGTTGAGGGAGTGATGTGGAAGGTTGCGGTAGCATCAAATGAAACTGCCGCTCAAGTCCTTGTAACTTATGGCATTTGTGCTACCCCTCCAGCCGCATGCGCACAGTCATCACAGAAGTCAATTTTGCAGACCTCGCATCGATTCATCCATGAAAAACTTGGGAAGTGTGCCTCGCAGCCATCGCACACCCAGCCCTCCTTGTAGCGGTCACCGTAGGCTGCGGGGGAAGCTACCACCCGTGCAAGCTCCCCGCGCTCCACATGCTCACATTTCAATGCCTTGCCAACGTCGGGATGTCGAAGGAAGCAATCCCAAAGGCTGTCCTGGCTGCGTCTGAGATGGGATTTTTGCGAGGGTTCCTGTAGGGCTTTAGGGTTTAGGGTTTAGGGTCCTTAAATACTTCCCCAAAGAAATCAGCAACAGCTCAACCCCCACATTGCGCGGCCCATTGGGGGGACATTTATTGAAAGGTTTCGATGGGAACCCATAGCACCTCTATCATAATAAGAACCATCTTCCGGGCAATAAGGAAAAATATCTAATTTCGAGCAGCTGAGCACGTATGAGAGAACCATCCTTCCAACAAGCATGCAAAATCTGTCTACAAGATCCGATTCAGAACATCGCGCCAAAGGACCCTTGAATTTCCTGGTGTTTTAAACTTCTTTCGGATTATGGATAGTGTCTGATCAAATCAGCTTATGAAATCAGCCACTTTCCTGGAAATTCTAGTAGTAAATGGTGCTTAAATGCTGAATTTGGTCCCGGAACCCTAACTGCAAGCACAAGGGAATCCCTGAGGCCTCACATTTCCCTAGATGCAGCCTCCTAATTCTGGAAAACCTCGCTCATTAATTGATGATATCATTGATCGGGTGGGCCTTGCTTAAGTCCCGACTACACGAAGCCGAAAACAGCGACAGAACCCAAAACTGATGGAATCTCCAGTGTTTATTGGTACCGCTCAAAACAGGCCCGGGATGTTTTGACAAACCCTCTCCTCAAACTGGCCCGCAAGGCGCTCACGAAATGCAGATCTCTGGTCGGACACGTGGAATGCGCAGATGTTCGTGTCACTGGTAATGCCCAGCGAGCTCAAGGTTTTGAAGTCCCAGCAGGTCTCCAGCACATCTCCGTTCTGCTTCCTGCTAGAGTAGGGCCACGCATATTTTCAACAAGATTTATGCCTTAGAAGGACCCCCCACCCTGTAATAGTTGTATAATAGGAGTATAAGAGGACCCTAATATAGGTACTACTATCCCTTATAGTCACTATTACAGGGTGGGGGGTCCACCTAACTTATGCCCAGGGGCCAAGCCCCTCCTATGGAATCATACATTGGGACTTCAGCTTTGGCGCACACACACACACACACGCACACACACACACACACATTCCAGCGATGTCTTATCATCCTAGCCTTATACTCCAAACCCCAATGCCGCATCACTCTGAACTGAAAACCCTGAAGGCTCTAAAGCCTGGTCCTGCCTCACAGGGGAGGCGGAGGTCGTTGAGGACCCGATATTCCACATTCAGGCTTTGGGGTTTAGAGCTCAAGGCTTTTTACTATAGGATTCACATGGACTGGCTTACTCTAGAGGAGCTACATTACATTATACAAGGACATACAATCAAAAATAAGGTATCCTTACTGAGGAAAGTATCCTTACTATAAAACCGACCTAGATTCCTTAACAGTGCCCCAGTAGAGCCCTCCAAGGAAGTTTCGCCATACTCCCCCAAAATTAAAAGCCGTACAGCAAAGCCTCAAAGCTCAATGGAATTGTATTTTTTGTGGTTGGACTAAGTAGGGTTCTATTCTTTTTCCAAAAAACTATTCCCAAACGGAAATGATAATCTTACGTTCTTTTTGGGACTATAGTACTATCATTATTCACGGACCTCGGTCGAAAGCGCACTCATCGGGGTAATCCCTAATTAATCGCAGTGTCCGTTTTCTTCTCCAGTGGTTCATGCGATTTTCCAGTATTTCCCTAATCCCTAAACAGGGCTACAAAGACTTCTGCCCTTTTAAAGATGGCGTATCCAACCCTAAACCCTAAACCCCCTTACCCCTAAACCCTAAACCCCCTAACCCCTAAACCCTAAACCCCTGAACCCCTAAACCCTAAAATCTAAACCCCCTAACCCCTAAACCCTAAACCCCCTTACCCCTAAACNNTAAACCCCAAACCCTAACCCTAACTCAAATATACCACTTATCTTGAAACTGAAAGGCTAGAGGATGGGATGGCTCTATCCTTGAACTATCCACAGATGCACTGAACTACGCTCTTAGAAGTTTGGGGGTTAGGATGTCGAGTTTAGGGTGCAGGGTTTTTTGGGAGTTTACAGTTTAAGGGTTAGGGTCCACAGCCCGAAGAACTATCCCCCTGTAG